TTTTCTATATATATATATTTTCTGAATTGTCATTATTGGACATGGAATCTTGTTGTTCAACACGTCTAGAAGATAAAAATTTTAATCTCGTAGAAATGGTGTAAAAAATGAACTCCATTGGATAATCATTCCTTACAAGAGTGTTAATTACTAATCTAATGTTTTTTTGATAAAATTTTGATTTAGATAATAAAATAACTCTATCAATCATTTCAAATATTACTCCTTTTTTCTGTGATGTAAGATGTACAGATAAAAAATTTAGGTAACGTCCTGAAAAAATAGGTTTGTGATACCAGTCAAATTCTAAGTAATCTTTATTCTTAATAATAGTCACATCCAAAAAATTAATCATGTCCCTCCCCCTCTCTCATTTTCCAATATAAACTGAAACTTAGTGTGAAATGAGTTGAAAACAATTAAAATGTGTTCTATTAATTCAATTGGAGCTGTCATAATATCGTCTACATATCTAATATAAAATGATAATATGATTCTCAAAATATCCAGCACCTTTGTTTCCAAATCCTGCAAAATAAGATCCGCAATAATTGGAGAAAAAGATAACATAAAATGGGAGTATCAAAATTTTGTTAATAATATTCATTATTAAAACAAAAGAATGTAGAATCCAAAACAAAAGATACAGCTCCAAATGATGAATTCATTTTTTGTATGCTAATCGCCTTCTCAATTTTCCCATCTTTTCTCTATACTTTTGACCGCCAATTCAATCGAAACATATGTGAATAATGAAACCACATCCAATGATACTAGAGAGAAAGTCACTTCAACTTGAGTGCCTCTTAATTTTTCCACAAGTTAGAAATGATTGTCTATTTTACTGAAAGATCAGCATTTTTCACATCATGTAAGAATGAAGTCAAAGAATATAAAGGTCCAATGATGAGATTATAATTCTAAACGATATCCCTTCTTTATATATCTTCAGTAATGCATATGTTCTTGGTAAAATTCCATCACTAATCGCCAATTTTTTGTAAATTGATTCTGAGATGTAATTTTTCTTTTTCCATTTTTTTAATAATTTCTGAATATTTCTTGATAATTTATTAAGAGGATTTTTTACTAATTTTGTATTTGGATCTCTTAACATTTGTGTAATTTTCTCTATTCTAATGCTACTGTTATATTCCCTTTGTCTGCCTTCGTAAAAATTATCTTAGGATTATTTTTTATGAATTTAATAGAGTAATTGATTAAAAAGGAGATTTTTTTTGTAATAGATAAATGTATAAGAAGTGTAATACATGGCGTAATATACAGGGTGTCTCAAAATATTTGAGATAATTAAAAATTGCACATTGTACATGACTTTTAGACTCAATTTAATCCGATCTACTTGCACATTGAGTATTGTCTCAAATTTTTTGGGACACTTTTTATAAATGACTTTCAAACGAAATAAACAAAGTAAAACAAATTAAAAAGTATATATAAGTGCAAAATATAAGCACATAATATAAGTGCAAAGAAATAAAAGAAGTTCCAATTTTTAAACTATACAATTTTAACTAATTAATCAAATATTTTGGTTTATTACATTTTTCTAATTTTATTGCTTGCAATTTATATAAACTCGATTTCATTGCATCTTCGAATATGAATGTGTCTGATCGTTCAATGCACATCTTGAAATAATTCAATTAGTTAATACTTATTGCATATGAATATTTTTCAGAGAAAGTGTCAAAAATATATAGTTTACTTGAAAATAGGACAACTCAGCGAAAAAGAGTCGCAGAATAAATTTCAAAAAACGAAGGAGAGACTTTAAGCTTCAAAATAACTAAATCTCTATCGTAATATTTTTATGGCAAAATGCATATGATTTTATAGACATATTAATTATTATGGCATGTACATTATCACTAAACGCTCTTCTCGATTGTTGATCTCTTAATTAAATTCTCCAAAATATTCTGCAAACCGGCAGGATATTCTATGCCAGCGAATTTCGGAGTCTGTCTCTTGTCGCAAATCATTTCCTCGTCAGATGGGATTAAGTCATCAATTAAATCCAGATATTTATCGAAGGGACATAATGTGTCACAACCTGGGATTGTAAGATCTTTGATAGTTGGTGGAATGCCCTGATAATATACGAGCTAAAACAATTCATTACATGATATATAATATATATAATTATATGTATATGTATTATTTCTTCTTTAATTATATGTATATGTATTATTTCTTCTTTCATTATTAGAGTAACACATATATTGCTTGTGTATAATAAAAATATTTACCTTCACATAATACTCTTGCTGGATCTGTTGCAATTCCAAAATAACTGCGCTAGAATACTCAGGTACATGCGGCTTATACACACCAAACGAGTGCAACATACTTGCAATATTGGTCTCGTGACCACTGTATAAGTAAATCTTCGTATTCGGCGCAGCATTTGGATTTTGTGCAGCTATCATATTGTCTGTCATGGCACGGATCATTGGACCTGAAACAATGCAAGAGCAATGTAATTATACTAACAAAATTCTAATTAAAACTGCAGTTTTCCATTTAATCGTGTAAAAAAATCTATCACATTTGTAATAGACTAAAATACAAATAATAAATTT